CAGGCCTTGGTGAGGAAGTAGCTAGTTGAGTGGCTGTCGAAGTCTTGCTTCTTCTGGGAGTGTCGGGCAGAGGACTTCGATAGATCGGTATGTAATGAAGCAGCAGTGGGGCTTTGCACTTCTCAATTGGCAAACCCAATAGCCTTTTTAGATCTTTGCTGGGGAAGAAAGTTTGGCGGAAGTCTTTTGATGGTTGGGAAAGAACTGCAAAAAGTAAGAAACAAACATTAGTACAAATAGATAAATTAACAAGTCTTAACAGAGATAGAGTTATAAGATGACCCAGTTTTTATCCTCATCCTCTCTAAACATAGCTCGACGTAGAGGAAAGAGATGAAGATCATCATCAAACGCAAATTCCCAGTTGTCCGAGACGATCAAGTAGTCATCTCCAGCACCCTTGTTGGAGTCTGGGAGGTCGGTTATAAGTTTGAAGGCGGTGGATCTGGGTTTAAGGTAGTCATGTAGCCTTTGTCAGACTTAAGGCTACACATGGTATAACAGAACTGGATGTCGGCAAGTGTGATCCTAACATTTTCTCGTCATGCTAGTTCGATTATACCGTTTATGACCCTATATGAGTTGATGGCTAGTTGCATGAGGTTAAGTTTGTAGTAGTGGAGGATTTCTAGGAAAAGAGTGTCTAAGGGGAATCGAAATCCACACTCAATGAAGGCAACTACAGGGAAGGGCATGGAGTCTTTATCAGGCATGATAGAGTCCTTTTCCCCAGTCAACCTGATTTGAACGTCGACTGGAATGGAGAACTCCCACCTAAAGTATTCTAATTTGGTCGGGGTGTCTACTCTGCACCTGAACATACCCATAATGTCGGCTTGATGAAACTGGTACTAGATTTCAGAAGATAGTGTCTGGTATGGATCTGAAAACTTCGACTAAAACCTAGAGAGCACTAGGTTGAGGGCTTCTGAAGATCAAGGGGAGGATTTTTATTTCAATTTTCCTAAGAAACAGAGTTCTAAAATCAAACACCAAAGCCTACGTCTATGCAGAAACAAGAATCGAATATAGGAATCTGGAAGCCAAGTAAGAAGACCAGAAAAGAAACATGGTTCAGAAATCAAGAATGAAGTAGAGAAACAGAAATATATGTGCATACAAAGAGCAACCAAAATTCATGAACAGTGCATAGGTGTGTGCAAGAACCATGAACAGAGTGTGAAGGCACGAGGGCAAATTGAACAGCATAGAATAGATTCAAGAACAACAATGGCAACCAAAATTGGGAGATAAATGAAGAAAAATAGAGTATAACTATGAATACAAATTCAATGGCGGCAGATACAATGAAAACATATGGAAAAATTCTAAAAGAAGTTATGTTGAAGAGCATGGCCATAAATTAAAAAGAAGTTTGGGACTTATCGAGTGAAACCGATACAACAGAGCACCGAAATAAGGCTTGCCGGAAACAGACGACGAAAGTTAATGGCGGAAAGCTCGCTGAAAGAGATAATTACAACAGTTGCAGGGAGCTCAAGAACACAACAATAGAGGATTTGAGAGTGTAGAGAGAGAGAGAGTTTGAGCACACAGAGAGAATGCGAGAATGCGAAGTGAAGAGACAGAAAGAGAAAGAAGAAGTTTTGTCAAAAATGTGAAAAGGCGACAAAACATAATGAGTTTGCCTTGGACGACATGCTTGTCAGGCAGCATGGGCAGGAATGACGCATGCTGATAGCGCGTGTCAGGTACAAACCAATAAAGAAAGGACACGTATATGAAATGGTTTGAAGAACTATGCATGACAGCTCATGCACAATTAGAGCTCTTGAACTTCTTGATTAATGAAGCATTAACCTCGGCTAGAAGAGCGATCTTAGTTGAGATGCTTAAAGAACTGGATTCTTGGTTCTTGATCCTTGGAAAAGTGGACAGTTGAGTCCAGGTTACTTAAAGCCGACGAGCAATGATCTCGGTCGTAAAGAGGAAATGAAATCTTAGCTAACATGCAATGTGGGCAAACAACATAGGTTCCATTACCTTGGGTTGCCAAGGTAATAGAACCTAGGAGGCAGTTGTGGGGAAGTATTTTATGAGTGGCAACATGTGGCAAAGGTGATGCTGAAGTGTCAGCCAAGATGCCACGTGGCTTGGTCACGCTACCAAGATGACCTGGGCTAGGCTGAGGTTATTTGCGAAGATAACGGAATCCGAGATAAACAGATAAGGGGCAGGAGTCCTAGAACAGGGGAGGATCTCAGTCTAGATAAGGATAAGGCTCAAAGAGAGTTTATTCCTATCTAGCTGAGGGTCCAGAATGAGCATTGAGCCTGAATCCATTGGAGTGAGGCTTTTAAAGAATCAAGTCACTGCTAGATATAAAAGCAAGGCACCCTTGTGGGTTTGAGGTAAGTTTTTTCTTATGAGTTTAAGCACAATTTGTTATCTGTGAGAGATATTAATTACTTACTTAATCGTCGGAGTGCCCCCGGGTGGACGAATCATTGCCGGATTCTCATCTTCTTTTGTAGGTTATTGGGCTTAATCTATTCTGCTGGTGCTCTCTAGCTGAGCTCACACATAAAATTTTCACGTCATTCCTTCCAAAACTTAGTTTTGGTTTTTTTTAAATCCAACTCAGACAATGTGGCATTCCACAAATAGCCAACAACTACGTCTGAAATCGGTGACAAATGTGATTCAGTGAGCCGATTCGAATGTGGTAACGAAAGGATAGAATGGATTAAAGAGGGATTGAGTTTCAAATTTGAATGTTATTCTATGGATTATGCCGTCAAACTTGCGTCTCCATTTTTGGGCGCAATCAATGTGTGGATATTCAAAATGGTGTGGATTTTGATATGGAAAATCTTCTTATTTTAGAATGGATTGATGTTTGGTTGGAGGATTTGAGAAGGAACTTGAAAAGAGAAAGGAAAAAGGTATTTGAAATTAGGTGAATTGTAGCTATATTTTATTCATCTTTCATCTAATTTTTTCTTTTTCTTTTTCAAATGTCTACTCAAATTCCTCAACCAAACACAACTTATCAATTTAATTTCTATCACACATATTCATTTTGGGTAAATTTTGAAACATTAATTCTGAGATCAGAGACTTTTCCAAAAGATAAATGTGTGATGAGACCAAAGGTTACTATCTTCAATCATACTAGGAAAAATTATAAAATAGTGGATTGTGAGAAAAATAATTATAAAATTATTGAAAATTTTATGATTTTAATTATTAATATTAATAATTTTTTTGTAAAAATAAATTGTTATGTAATGTTCTCATAAAGTTATAGCGGTTCACATAGGGATGTAAGAAAAATAAAAAAAACTGACCAAACCGATTGAATTGGACTAAACCGGTTATATTTAGTTTGTTTTTTAACAAGAATCTGTCTGTGTGGTTTTTAAATTTTTTTTTTCTTTTTTGATTTTTGGTTCGGTATCGACTCAAGCACCTTGTGCACTGAATTAAACAAAAACCGACCGCTTCAACATATATTGTATTTATCATATATATATATATATATATAATCTAATAATATAATGATGTTAACAAGTATAATAAATTATTAACCTTATCATCTTTGTAATCTAAGTTTGTAAACTTTTATTATTTATAATCTTAACTCTAACTCATTATTTAGTATTTTTTAACTTTTTTTTGTTTTTATTTTTATAAATCTAGGAATTGATAAGTATTTATTAAACGGATGGATTGGATATGTTTGAAATGGTAGATAAATAACTAATTTAATATTTTTATATAGATTAGTAATTATATTTAAAAGTAGCTTAAGTTTGAAAGGTCCTAAACCAATTAAACCACATCGAATCGAACCGTTTCAATCAGTTCAATTCGGTGTGGTTTGATGGGAGAAATGGTATGTATAGGTATTCAAAATAATAAGACCGATATTATCGGTTCAGTAAAATTTTTTACTTAAATACCGACCGTACTAAACAATTACATCCCTAGATTCACGTGTCTGAGAAACAAAACGTGTTGGACCTTTGAAATTTTTGGTGGCCCGGAGTCAATACCTTAATAAATTACAACCGTATTGTTGAGATTTGTTTAAAATAGTAATCGTTCTTTATAATTTTAGAAATAACATTTCGTCCTTTTAAGTTTCTACTTATATAACAAAGGAGAAATTTACAATATGCACTCTTTCAAATGGTGTACATTGTAAAAAAGTTATAATTTTTTTATGATAAATGTTATGATTATTGGCATGTGTGAATAATAGGGAAAGGCATACCATAGGTACATTTGTGATGTATGTTATGACATTTTGTAATAAAGTTATAAATAGTGAATTTATGATCTGCAACCTAAAGTTAGGAATGATAATGTTATGATATTTTATAATTTTTGTTATGACACTTTGAGATTTTATTATGACATTTTTCAATGAAAAAAAGTTATGATTTTTATAATAAAAAAATTATGATATGTTGGATTTAAGTTATGAAATTTTGTGAAAAAGTTATGAAAGGCGGAGTTTTCTTAAGTGTGCAAGTGCACACCATGTGCCACTTACACAAAAAGTGTAAGTGTAAGGTGTAAGTATAAGTATAAGGTGTAAGTGTAAGGTGTAAGGTGTAAGTGGGTTGCACATGGTGTGCAACCTCAAAAAATGTGTAAGTGTAAGGTTTAATTTTTTACAAAAGGTGTAAGTGTAAGGTGTAAGTGTAAGGTATAAGGTGTAAGGTGTAAGTTGCACACCATAACCAAACCCATGAAAGGCATACCATATGTACTTTTTTGAAGGTGCACATTATAACCTCCCCCAATAGCAAATGAGCCATTTTTTTACTAATAAATATCCAATTTCATCTTTAATAATTAAGAAATTTCACCCATAAATTTTTATGTCTAAAACCTTAATTTGTTATAGCGTGGGTCTAAAGAACTCTGCTTAGAACCGATTATTCTTTGTTAAAAAATAAAATACAATTGTTTGACTATGTACACAACATGAAACAATCCACTGCACAAAACTTGCATGTAATGTAACTTTTTTCATTTATATATCATCATGACATAAGCACTGGTGATTTTATTGCTAATAAAAAAGATTAAAAACAAAACACTGTGATTTTTTTTTATAGAATTTAAAAATTAACTAAAGATTATTAACCATAGAAAAGCAAGGTTTATAAATTTAAAGGTGGTGCTGCTTTAATTGGCAGTAACAGCAATACTCATGCCAGCTTGACAGTGGCCTGGAATTCCACAGATGAAGTAGTTTGGTCCCTTTGCAAGCCTTACCTGATCTCTTCCACTTGTATATGTTTTTGCCCCATTGGGGACATTGCAATTGTCATGATCTGCCTTACCCACAACAACCACATTGTGATTTCCCGGGCCATAGTTGAACTCTGTCAACAAGAATTAAGAAAACGAGCAATCTCATATTAGATCAATTTTTAATAAGGGTATTTTGGTATTTTTCTTATTTGTGACATGTAATTTTAATTTTATATGTATGTGTAATTATTTAAAGTGACAATCACATGGTGAATTTCACCATTATAATAGACTTGAGGTACAACTTCAAATATTTAAATTATAGTGATCCAGACAAAAACATGATTGTTAGATGTTCTTTTGACTTGTATTTGGATTATAAATTTAAGTAGAGAATCGAAAAGGGAAACATTTATTTATTTATTTATTTATTTTTATTTTGTTATATATATATATATATATATTTTTTTTTTCTAATCCTTACCAAAATCTATGATTTAAATACAACCTTACCGGACATGATTCCTGTATTCTAACCTTTTCACTTTATAATAAATTTTTTTCTTTCCTTCATTTCCATCTTATGCTATGTTTGGTTGATTGAAATAAAAATGAAATGTTCATTTCATAGCCTCCTTACAGAATGATCATTCACTTATAATGGTAAATAATGATTTCATTTGCAATATATTTTTTTATTATTTTTTTTATAAACCAAATTTGAGAATGGATATTCTGATGAAATTTTTTTTTTTGTGCAAAATTGAAAATTTTGTGTCTATAAAGGAGCATGATGATGGAACATTGATGTGCAAAAAAAAAAAAAAAAAAAAATTTAAAATAATAATAATAAATGGACACATTTTGAATACTTACGAAGAATGTCACCAGCCTTAAAACTCTTGCCATTGGGCCAACCTGAGACACTAAAGGTCCAACCACCAGCATCTCCTACTGTAAAGCTAGCTCCCTGAACCACCTCAAAACGGAGGAACACCACCATGCAAACCACCAGTGCCACGGCGACGATTATTGCATTGCCTCTTCCCTGATGAGCCATCCTCTTTGATCTCAACAACAAACAATTTAAGTTCAGACTCTCTGTCTTATGGGTTATAATTAATTTGCAAATTCTAGCAAACAGAGGTGGTCTATTTATACTAGTAAAAAAAAATGCGGCCCCTACTTACCAAAATTTTTTTTTGGGAACTTATTTAACTTAATCATTAATGCTGTGTTTGGTTAGGAGATTTGAGTAGGAATTTGAAAAGAAAAATAGAAAAGGTAAGTGAAATGTGAATAAAGTATACTTCTATTTCACTTAGTTTCATATACATTTTCCCTTTCCCTTTCCAAATCTCTCACCAAATCTCCCAACCAAACACAGCGTAACTTTTTCCATTCTGATTACAATAATCTTCAAATAATTTAAAAATGGTATATTTATTTTTGGTAGGATTACATCACGATTCACATTATCTTTTATTTTCTCATATTTGGAATTTGATTACAATAATCTTATGTAGTCTAAAAAAGTAATTTTAGAAATGATATATTTGTTTTTAGAATGATTACATCATGATTCACATTACCTTTTATTTTTTTGATATTTTTTTTTTATTTCACTTTTTCTTTTTAATAATCTAGGGTTGATTCTAACCGACTCTTTAAACTATATTTGTTAGCTATTATAATTAATTTTATCTTATTTTACTCACTTCAATGGACTAATTACTATAATAATTATTTTAACCAAAAAATTTTAGGCTAGTTATATTTGCAGAGCCTTAAGAGGTTCTTTAAACCAATTAAAACAAAAAGTAGCGGTAGCACATAGATGAAAAAATTGATTAGATAAAATACAGAGTTTACAATATGTTTCTTTATTATTTTAACTAGTAAAAAATAAAAAATAACGGGGGAGTTGCTTTAAGTGAGAAATTATTTGTGTAGTTGATTATTTAACCATTTTGTACGAGAAAGTCTAATTGCACCGAAGATTAAACACAAAATGAACACATATATCTCACAAGGGTAACGCGCACAAGTCATGTGGGCCCGTGTGAGACTGACACAATGTGAACACATATATCTCACAAGAAATGAGATCACATATTATGTAAGCTCATGTGAAAACACATATATCATTTAGAGTAATGATTGAGACCCCACCCTTATAAGACTCCCACAAATATGGACCACTTATGTTGTGAACCTCACACATACATGTGCGAGCCCCACACATACATAGAGTACCAGAATCACTTGGGGGTGTGGGGGTCATCTCCAAAAAGGGTCCCAAACATTTTCCTATCTTTCGAAGGATGGGGCCCACAAGTCATGCGTGCCCATGTAAGAAATCTGAACAATTTATCTAAGGGGTGTGACACCCTAAATGTTTAATTAAATACCACATAATATGCATAGCTATATATAAAGATAATTATGGAAAAAAAATAAATATAAGAGTGGAAATAATAATAATAATAATAATAATAATAATAATAATAATAACAATAATAATAAGGAATAAATAAATATAATAATAACAAAACTCATAATAATAACAAATCTAATAATAATAAAAACAAATCCAGCAAGAATCAATGTGTGTATTTGCTGGATGACTAAACCTCAGCCATCTAGGCTGTCTAGGATTAGGGAGGATGAATCAGTCAATTCGGACCATTAATGCATCCTAGGCTATGTATGTATATATATAAAGGGATGGGTGGGACTGTAAAAAGTATAGAGAGAAATGAAAAGAAAATAGAAAGGAAAAGGGGAGCGAAGGAAACGCCATGAGAAGGTTGCAAAAATAAGAAGAAAGTAATAAGGGTCAATATTAAGGTGACTTATATTATACCTTGAGTCATCATAATATATTTTACGTATGCTTTGGGTTACCATAAATTATTTTACGCAATCTATGTTTTATAAATTATATTAATATTTTGATTACGTTAATTATTTTCTGAACTCTATATTGCTTAAATTGAAATCCATGGATATGTTTGTTTAACTTTTAGAAATTATTTGACAATGATTTTATAAATTATTATGTTTTGTAAATTCCACCACGAAAGTCCCATGCCTTGGAGACTTAAATAACCATTGGCCTCTGTTTGACCACTTTGTGATCCTCTATTTGTCATAGATCCAATGACCTCTGTTCTGATTGTCACTCATGTGACCTCTATTTTGTTCTGTTCTGTACTGTGGTTATGGTTATTTATTTACATAATTTCTATATTTCAGTTTCTGCCACTTTGAATAATTTATTTATTCAAATTAAGTTATGTAAATGTTTTAGTTTATCTAACTATCCATGATTATTTCGTGTTCCCTATACTCTTGGCATAATATTTCTCACTCTGCTGTATGCTTATAGCTGTTACCCTTTTAGGTGACGAGATGTGAGGAAGATCCGTAACCTCATGTAGTGGAACCCGAACAAGAACTTGATGCTAATTTTTGTTTTTCTTTCCTTTTTCCCCTTTTGTTTTTTAACTGAGGGCCAGTCACTGAAAAAAATAAATACAAGCCCTATAGATGTACTTTCTTTTATCAAAATAGTCGAATGAAGTTAATTTTTGTTTAATTATTTTCTTACTTCCATTTTGCCTCTACCTGCGCTGAAGAAAGGGCTGAAATTACATAGTCGAATGGTGAAATTATTTTCTTCCTTACATAGTCGAATGGTGAAATTACATAGATTGTTAATGATAGTGATAATAATAAAGATGATGATGATGAAGATAAGGATGTGGGTGATATTTTTTTATTTTTTTGTATTTAGAGTGATTGAGTTTTTTTTTTTTTTTTGAATTTCTAATTTTATTGCTTCCATTGTTTCTATTTTTTTGTCAATCAATGTGAATGTTTACATTTCACATTGTTTGAAAGTTTAATGGTTATTTGTTACTATACTTGTTGTTTGAATAATCATTTTTTGTTACCATTAAACAATTGAAATAGTCTCTTTTTTTTTCAATTTTGTTTCATGTTGTAGTGTGAATGGTCACATTGGTATGAATTTAGTTTTTCTAAGATTAGTTGTATGTTAATTGTAAATTGTAAACATTCACATTGTATTTTAATATGAGTTTTTTTTTTTTTTTTTTTGAAGTATTTTGAAGTATTTTTGAAAAGTTAGCTGTATTTTGTTATTTTTTTACTATATTTATTGGCTGAACAATCATTTTTGTTACTATTGAAAAATTAAAATAGTCGATTATACTTTTTAATTTTATTTTATGTGTTTGCGTTGTAGTGTGAATGTTCACATTGGTATGATATTTTTTTTGTAAAACTAGATGTATATTAATTGTAAATTGTGAACATTCACATTGTATTTTAGTATAAGTTTTGTTTTTTCAAAAATTAATTTTATGTTTGTTGTTTTTGTTACTATGTTTATTAGTTGAACAATTATTTTTGTTATCATTGAACAATTGAAATAGTCGATTTTTACTTTTTTTTCCATTTTGTTTTGTATTTTCACGTTACAGTGTAAATGTTTACATTGGTATGAATTATTTTTTTAAGGTTGATTGTATGTTTATTATAAATTGTGAACATTCACATTATACTTTAATATGTGTTTTTTTTTTCAAAAGTTAGTTGTATGTTTGTTATTTATTGTGAATATTCACATTATATTTTGATTTTTATTAAAACTTTTTGTTGGGTTATTTTTAAAATTTTCAAATTATAAATAGATTCAAGATTCATAATTTGATATTTTCTCCATGGAATGCAGGAGAGATTTTCTCCTTAGCATAACGGAGAGATTTTCTCCATAAAATATGGAATTATTGTGATGTATTAGTTTCAAAATAGAAACATATGCAAAAAAATAAAAATAATGATTTGGTCATATTACATTAAACAGGACTTAATGAAATACTCAAAAAGAATATGAATTTGATGGAATAGAATACTTAGAAAGAGAATTTATCAAAAAATCACCCTATGAAAAAATATAAGACTATAGATCAACATTCCCCAATTAATGTTCCTAATTTTTCCTAATTTTACCGCTAATTTTTCTTAATTTTTATCATTATTTTATTTTAGAGACATTTATTTATAAATTTTTCTTCACCTATTTATGTTTCACTTAATCTAAATTATTTTTTTTTATGTTCCAATAAATTCTATGAGTGACATAGTTATCAAAATATTCCTAATAACAATAGGGTAAATTGCAAATTAATGTTCACATTGACAGTATAAATATTCCATGATGTGAATATTCATATTGTCAATGTAAACATTCACACTGTTAAATTTATTTAATGTGAATGTTCACATCACCAAGTTGTTAAGAGTTTAAAAAATACCGCTGATAATAATAGGGTGAATCATAAATTAATATTCACATTGACAGTATAAATGTTCCATGATGTACATCACACTGTTAAATTAATTTAATGTGAATGTTCACATCACCAAGTTGTTAAGGGTTCAAAAAATATTTTATAAAGGGTAAAATTATTCATAAAATACCTTAAATATAAGAATTAGAATTTGATAAATCAAATGTTTAAAATAATAAAATTTATTAAAATATAAGAATATCTTATAAACTAATTAGGATAGAAATACTTAAAAGAAATTGTTTAAAAAAATTCTCCTTTATTTTATTGCCATTTTATTTAGGAGCACCCCAATCCCTTTATTTTATTACCATTTTATTCAGGGATGACCCAAGTTTTTTTGGGACTTAAGGAAAATTTTTTTAAATGAGTCTGGTATTGAAAATTCAACCAAACATATAAATGTTTCTTAATTTTTTGGGTAAATTACAGGTCATTCCTTATATGTGATAGACTTAAATACCTCTGTGCACTTTTTTAATACGCCAATAAATTTTAAAATGTCTATTTGGTTTCAATATTTTTTAAAGATATTGATAAGTGACAAGGAAAAAAATACTAAACTTAAAAATAAATAAATCTAACCAATAAAATTGATTAGTAAGTCCTCTAATATTTTTTAGAGCCAAAGAAAAGACTCTGAGGTAAGATTGTGAGGAAAGGCATTGATGGGTCATTTTGCATATCAAAAATAAACACTAAACTGTATCTAAATTAATATTTCTTAAAATAAACGTAAGTCCAAGTATCAATCAACGAGAGAAATGTGAAATTAAACTAAATTTAATTGTTAAATTTTTAAATTAATTTTGATAACAAGATTGATGATTCATGGAATGATAATAATTAAAATGAACTAAGAAATTAAATTGGCAATTAAAAATGAAGTTTGAGATATTGATTTTTTTTTTTTTTTGGAGAAAATCCTAGGGTAATGAATTCACCACTAATTACATAAATAAGGTTTCAAATTGGAAATGAATTGTGTTATGGTTCGAACTACTTAATATTTCACAACTACAAGTTTGAAGCATTGATCAAGAAGATTATCTCATTTAATATACATGCATGAACCATCTCAAGTAACATGAGTCATTCGCTCTAAATTAAAGTAGCAACACAACTTGTCCAGCATAGTATGATTGTCTCATACCTTGAATACAAAAGAATAGAAAACCATTATATGGAAAGTATTGAATAATAATAGAAAGTAAAATACTTGAAAAAAATAATGAAAAATATGTTTAAAATTTCTTAAACACCACACAACTCGTTCAGACTATTACACAATCAAAAACCAAAGAGAAAACTCTATGTACTTGGGTAGGGTTTTATCAAAACCCTAGGAAGAGGAGAATTAGCCACTCATGGAGGAGTGGAAAGAGGTAGCGGAAGAGGAAGCCACTATGAGAGGTATTCTTTAAGCTTGAAAAACCCTCCTTTTCAAATCCTAGCCTCTCCTATCCTTTAGAAAATTTTAAAACCCTCATCCAGCCTTTTTTTCTACCTTTTATAATTCTCCAACATTCCAAACATGTGTAGCAAATTTTTCACGCAAATTGAGGTATGGTCGCACATGCGAGAAATGTCATCGCATGTGCGGTTAAGGCTGTGCACATGTGGGAAAAATCTTCTGCACATGCAATTTTTGCAGCCTTTATTTGGCTTCATAGATGGGTTGTACGTGCGAGAATGGTCTTCCACACATGCAAGAAGTGATGCCAACGATGGTTTTGGTCTTCTTTGTTTTCATCTTCTTTCTTTTTTGTAAATTTGCCCCAAAAAGACAAGTTAAGGTTTCTGGGTTTGGTGATTGAAGATGAAGAGAATGATAGGAATGTCTTTTTCTATTTTAATTTTATCTTAATTTAAAAAGAAAAATAGACCCACTCTCAAACAAGGCAAGTGTTTTAGGTATCGTTTGGGAAGAGCTCATTTGGGCTCTTTTGGCTCTTTGAGCCACAAAAGACAGAATAGGTTATTTGAGCCACAACAGACAAAACATCACATCCAACCCATAATCATTATACTATTCTCCCACAAAAAAAATCAAAAAAGTCAAAAAACCAAAAAGTCCTTCCCAAACCAAGCTTTTGAGTCCAGGTTCAAATAGCTAAAAAAGCCAAAAAACTAAAAAACCAACCCACTTCCCAAACAGAGGCTTACAAATTTTGTTAATTTGGATGAAAAAAAAGTAACAATTACACTTTAACCCAAAACTACAAAGGGGTAAGTGGTTATTTCAAAATGATAAGGGAAAAAGTACAATTGGCTTAAATCACAAGGGAAGCAGATTTTGCCCAATAAAAAAAAAATTAAAAACGATATTTTTTCTTTTTTTTTTATTAATCCATTTTACCCTTTTAGATGTTCATGTACTTCTTTGTGATTAGATGGGTCGGTCACATGCTATAAGTTGAACTCATCAAATAATTAACTTGTCATGTATTTGGAGCATGCATGATTATATTCGACAAGATGTCTAATTATTTGTCAATAATAAGGTGCATGCAAGCAATCATTTAAAAGAAAAAAAATAAAAACGAAATAATCTCACATTACCACATGTCATTGGACATGCATACCCCCACTCACGGGACCACATTAAAATTTGATTAAATTACTAATTAATTACCTCGTTACACAAAGCATTTGAAATTATGTGTTGTTGGATAATAAATCTCACTAAAATAACATAGTGCTACAACAAAGTCATGACCAATGCCATACATGATACATTTATATTACATAGATAGTGGTAGACAAAGGCATGCATATATATATATGCTGCTCATTCAAACCAACTTTATTTCCTTAATATATATGCTCACTAGTACCTACCTCCATCACTCTCTCTCTCTCTCTAAACATATATATATATATATATAGATGGGATGGGAGCATGAAGAAGAGGGTATGGGTTGGTTAAGCTGCGGTAACAGCAATCTTCATTCCAGAACCACAATGGCCAGGGAGTGAGCATATGAAGAAGTTCTGACCCTTGACAAGCTTGATTTGATCTTTCCCAGAAGAAAACACCCTGGCTCCAGCTGGTGCCTTGCAACTATCATAACCAGCCTTGTTCACACTTACCACATTGTGTCCCTGTGGGTTGTAATTGAACACTGTCAACAAAATTCAAAACTTATTTAGATCATAAACAAATATATATATATATATATATATATGTATGTATTGATTCAAAAAAAAAAAGTAGTACAGGAACAGAGGATTGTTATAAACATATACTAGTGCAATATATGAGATTTTAATAAGAGGATTGTTATATATCATGATTGATTTTAGTAAAAGGGTTATGTGAATTTACACAAAATAAACAAATGAAAAGTTATATATATAATGTGTGTGTGTAAGACTCTTCATAATCAAAAAGATTAATGGTAAGATGACTAAATTTTGTTTTTAATTATTTAGAGGGCTACTATATATCACTTCTTTTTCCTTTTTTTTTCTTTTTCCACTCTTTTAGAGGTAATGTTGCACTTACCATCTTTGTAGGTCATTTTTAATATACCACTTCATGTATTGACACATTATTTGATATAAACATGAGTAATGGAACCCATTACACTAATGATGGATTGACTCTTTTAACCTATTTTATTTTTATTAACTATTTTAACTAAAAAAAAAAGCTTTCCAACCCAACTTCGCAAACATCATTGGTCCAATAAATTTGACATACATGTACACAAATACGATAATTATATATCAGCTACAGACTTGGTACAAACATTGGATATGAATACACGTCCAAAAGTTATATTTTCATAAACTTAAATATTAAGGGTGATTTAAAATGATACAAATAAATATATTTTTTAATTTTTCATAAAAAGATATGCAAAAAAAAATAAAAAGTTGATATGATCCAATAAGTGTACTTCTCTAAATAAGTATATTTATTTAGGGAAGGCCAAACAAACACTTAGAGCATTCCCCCCAGTTTACCTAAATTTTACCTTAAAATATTATTAAAAAATTCATTCCCTATTTTTAGGAATCATTTTTTCATTTACTTCCCCCAACAAACTCCCTATTCTGTCTCTATTCTATTAAAATAATATTTTTCATTTATTATATAACATTATGAGATAAGATGTAAATTATGTAGAAATGTAATTGAAATTAAGAGATGGTTTGGAATGATTTAAATAAGTATATTTTTTAACTTTTATGAAATATGGGTTGGATATGGGTTGGGTATAGGTTAGATTTAAAGTGATATAATAGAGAGTTGATGTGATTTAAATAAGATAGTGACTTTTTGACTTTTAAAATTTTTTAAATTCAGACAAACAAAACCTAAATAAAAAAAATTTAAAGTGAAATTTTTATCAATTAGGTTATAAAAGTTCCTTTTCTAGCACATGTAAATTTCTCACTCCTCAAAAATGGTAAAAAATTAAAAGATCTAAGGGTCCGTTTGGCAAGTTGATTTGTGTGGTTATTTTAGTCACAAAAGACAAAATAAATTATTTTAGTCACAACAAACAAAACATCACATCTAATCCATAATTATCACACTCTTCTCTTACAAAAAAAATAAAAAAAGTCAAAAAATTAAAAAGTTCTTTCCAAACCAAACTTTTTAACCCAGACTAAAATCGCCAAAAAAATTAAAAAGCTAAAAAATCAACCTACTTCCCACACGGAGGCCAAATATTTAAATTGAGTATGAGTATTGACCATAAATTTCACACCTTTATATATTTGTCATTATTCTGTGGACACGAATAATTTGAAAAATAAAAAATAAAATAATGCATGCAATACATTAATATAATATAAAAATTAATATAATAGATCTTATTTGCTGTGAAATGTGAAAAACAAGAAATGTTAACCACTTTAACACTTCTCCTATAATAATCTTAGAGTAAATTACACTCCACGTTAATTAACATTTCTCCTATAATAATAATGAGTAAATTACACTTTCTAATCTTATAATTTGATTCAAAATTTATTTTGGTTCTTATTGTTTCAATTTAAATAATTTAATTGTTACATTTTATAATTAAAAAATAAAAAAATTCTTACACTTTAAATTTAAATTTAGTTTCAATTTAAATTTTTCATCTAAATTTTTGTTATATTTTTTCTACGCGTACACCTCAAGATAAGTATTCCAAAATTTTAACCTCTAAACTCTGAAGGGGACAAGGTAATCCAGTTGTCCATGTGCCTGTTCCTTGAGACAACAATGAGAAGATCACAAATTTAAGATTCGAGTTGAGACGGTAACCTTCGTTATAATCTAATTTACTAACTCCTGAGATCAAATCGTATGACAAAAAAAAAATTTAAATTGAATGATCGAATTAAAATTAAAATTAAAATGTCAAGACTAAGTTATACAATATAAAATAAAATAAAATTCGAGTCTAGAATTTAGTCATAATCTTACCGAGTATGTCACCAGCTCTAAAGCGCTTCCCATTGGGCCAGCCGACACTGTTAAAGGTCCAGCCACCGGCACCACCTACCGTATAGGTAGTTGCCTCTGCAGTCACCACCATCAGGCACAGCACCACCGTCGCCGCCGCCACCACTGCAATGCCTATTCCCTGAGATATCTTCTCTCTCTCACTACACTAATGACAAGTGTAGGAATGTATTTTCTAAATACCAATACGTGGCATGGTGACGCCGATGTGTCAGCCGAGGTGCCACGTGTCCTGGTAGCTATGCCGAGGCCGAGGCGATCTCCGAAGATATCGGAATCCGAGATAAGCGGATAAGGGACAAGAGTCCTAGAATGAAGAGGGAACTCAACTTGGATATGGACAAGAGTCCTAGAGAAAAGAGAAGACTTCTGCTAAGATAAGGATAAAGCTCTTACGGAATTTATCTTTATCTCTTGAGGAATCCAAAGTAAGTACTAAATTGGAGTCCATAGAAGTCAGGCTTCTAGTAGAACTTGGAATGAGTAAACTATAAAAGAAAGGCACCTCCGTGGGTCTAAGGTACACAGTTTTATACTCAAGCTTGTGAGTTTAGCATTTGATTATCTTTGAGAGATATACTGACTTGATCGTCGGAGTGCCCCCGGGTGGAAGAGCCACCACCGGAGCCTTTTCTTTCTGTTGCAGGTTCACTGAAGCCATCTATTCTGCTGGTGCTCTCCAACTGATTACTAGGCGGGCAGTGTGGACAGAAAATTACTCACACAATTTGGCGCCGCCTGTGGGAATCTTAGAAGAATAGATGGCCAGTGATGGACAGAGGGAAAACATTGGGGGCGACACTCCTACTAGGAGTGGCAGACCAATTGATCTTGACGTTGAAGGAAACAACCACAGTGTAGAAAATCATGACCAGGGTCACGGAGAGAAAGACGTCGGCCAGGAGGGCGGTACTTCAAAGCGAACAGACCAAAGCAAGTATTATAACGAAGATAACCTTCAGGTATGGAGGGATAGGTGCCTACGGAGAGATGAGGAAGTAAAAGACTTGGTAAACAAGTTGACAAACCTACAGTCAGTGGTCAACTTTATGATGCAAAACAATGTTATGCAGCCACCATACCCGCTGCAAGATACGCCGATGCCAGCAATTAACACCCAGAAGGGAGGAAGGAAAGCAATCTCCGAAGCCCCTCAGCACACCAGGAGTGGAAGGCACTCACACCGACCTTCCAAGGAAGTCGGACGAGAGGAGCCGAGGCAAGAAGAGTCCCGAAGGACACATCGAATGAAGGATCCAGGGCCCAAAGAACATCGGCATGTTCAAGGGCAGGCACTCTGCTTTGACACAACCCATGGAGAAAGATCGAAACGGGCCCACCACGAGGCCGAAAGTAGTGTGCCAAAAAGATTGAAGTCCAGAGATAGCCGAGCTCCAGGTAGGAGTAAGGAAGACTTAAGGGATTACCTCAAAAGGAGGTAGCAGAATGTTGAAGCCGAGGTGACATTCCCAGTTAAGCCGAGAACACCGTTCTAGGTAGAACTGGACAAATTTGAAGCACCAAAAAGATTCAGTATGCCAAGGTTCCAAATTTATAATGGTAAGTCAGATCCCAACTTTCATGTTGGACTATACCTGAACTCAATGGCATTATACAGTGGGAACGAGCCGTTGCTCTGCAAAGTATTTCCCTCATCCTTTGGGGAAATTGCATCTGATTGGTTTCATAAACTACCGAAGGGAAGCGTAAAGACATGGGAAGGCCTGGCCGAGATGTTTGTGGCCAGGTTTGTAACGAAAAAATTACAGCCCTTGAGGGTCGACGCCTTGATGGCTTTAAGAATCACCAAGGAAGAAGGCCTTAGGGCGAAGAGGTACTACGAGATGTTCAATCGAATACCCGAATGTAACCAAGAAGTGGCGGTCGTGTCTTTCAAGAACGGCCTGAAAGATGACTGCCTACTACGGAAGTCTTTGGCAAAAACATTGCCAAAAAGTATAGAGGAACTCATGGCAAGAATCGAAAAGTACGCCAGAGCCGAGGAAGATACGTCGGGAAACAAAGAGATAAAGCAGGAGAAGGGAAACGGCTCGCCGAAGCGAGGCCGAGGTACCAACGGGCCGACCAAACAAGAAACAAAATTGAAGGGTAAACAGGCAGTGACGACGATGTTCCGAATCCATATCCATAAAGTCCTGGACCAAATACGAAATTAACCCTATTTCAGGGCACCGGCAAGAGCACCAGGGAAATTTATGGGAAGAAACGTTGGTAGGCGCTGTGCTTACCATAATGAAGAAAGACACCCAACTCAAGGTTGCAGAGCCTTAAAAGCACACTTAGAAGACCTAGTAAGGCAAGGCCATCTGAGGGACCTTGTTGATGAGGCCAGGACAAGAGAAAAACAAGCAAGATTGCCTCAAGCACCAGTAGCACCGTCTCCCCCAGCACAGCAATCACAGGCAGGAGGACCACGGGTGGTTAATGTAATCCACTCAAAAGTAAACGAAAGCGACATTTGGGGAGAAACCCAAAGAGTAAAACACCTGTAGCACGTGAACCAGGTCGGATACAAAAGACCTCGGCCTGAAGAATGCCAAGGACTGATGATAACTTTCACTGAAGCCGACCTGGAGTTGGTCCAACATCCGCATAATGATGCCTTGGTAGTATCCCTTCAGGTTGGGGAATGCCAAGTGAAACACATCCTGATAGATCAAGGCAGCTCTTGTGACATCATGTACGTCAGATGTTACAAGGAGCTGGGCCTTCACCCTGACGATCTGGAACAATCCAGCAACCCTATGGTCGGCTTCAATGGAACGCCGACATGGCCACTGGGCGCAGCAAGCGTGGAAGTACAAGCTGGTACTAAAAAGATCAAGACAGAATTTATGGTGATTTTGGAATGAGTAAACTATAAAAGAGAAGTACCCCCGTGGGTCTAAGGTACACAGTTTTATACTCAAGCTTGTGAGTTTAGCACTTGATTATCTTTGAGAGATATACTGACTTGATCGTCGGAGTGCCCCCGGGTGGAAGAGCCACCGCCGGAGCCTTTTCTTTCTGTTGCAGGTTCACTGAAGCCATCTATTCTGCCGGTGCTCTCCAGCTGATTATTAGGCGGACAGTGTGGACAGAAAATTACTCACACAACAAGCAACAACAAAAGATTGGGAAAAAAACTAGAGAGAGTGTGTTAGCTTGTGAGTGTGTGAGACAGAGAAAGAGAGACTTGTGTACATTTCTATGCAAGTGGAAGCATGCCCATTTATAGAAGGGGTTGTCTTTGGTTGGGTGCTTGGATTTTGGTTATTTTTTAAAAAATTAAAATTTAATTTAATAAAATAATAATAAATTAAATATACTCATCATTTTTATATAATTTTATTTTTTATGAAGTGAAAATCATTTTTAAAAATATTTTTTATGTTTATTTTTTTTCAGATTAATTTTTATTTTGGCAAAAAAAATTCAAAATATTGACTATGTAATTGAAAGCAAACAAATATGATCTTGAATTTTTACGCATAATTTAGGCCAAGTTTGGGAAGACTAAATAAGTGTACTTTTTGACTTTTTATGAAATATGGGTTGGATTTGAGTTGGGTTTGAAGTTATGTGTTAGAGAGGTGATGCGACTTAAATAAGATGATGTGACTTAAATAGGATAGTAACTTTTTGAATTTTTTGAAGGACGCCAAACTTGGCCTTAGGAGACACATGAATATGTGTGGACCAGATTGTAAACCTTAAAATGCATTAACTAAGGTACTATTTGGCATCCTTTATATAATATTTTTTTTTTTACCATTTTATCTTTTTTAGGTTACACTACGTTCTTTTTTTTTTGTATATTTTTTTTATAAAAAATAAAAAATATAGTAATTATTTAGATCATTTCAAACACACTGTAAATCTCAACAGCCTCGAGGAGTTGACTGAGCGATAAATATTTAAGAGGATAAAATCTAAAATCTTAAGTTCAAACCATTTTAAGGGTTATTAAAGATTTATTTGATTATTAATTTTAAGATCTTAAAATTAGTCAAGATAAGTGCAAACTAGCTTTAGATGCCCATTTAGAGCTCGTTCGGGATGAAGATTTGGGCTAATCTAATTATATAAGACAAAATAAGTTACTTTAATAAAATAGGATAAAATGTTATATCTAACTAATAATTATTTTATTTTTTCTCTCATAAAAGTTTAAAAAATCAAAAAACATATCCTAAATGAGACTTTTTAACCCCAAACTAAAATAACTAAAAAATTAAAAAGTCAAAAAATTAATTCACATTCCAAACAAGCTCTTAATTATAAAATAAAAATAAAAAGTTCTCAACTGCATTTTTTCTGTTTTGGGGAATTTTTTTGACGCAGGCAACGTTGGGTAACACCTAAAATAATCACATTTTTATGAACTTTTGTTTATTTTTGTACTTTTTTTTGCCTCCGTTTGAGAAGTGGGTTAGCTTTTTGATTTTTTAACTTTTTTGACTATTTTAGCTTGAGCTAAAAAGCTTAGTTTGGGAATGATTTTTTGGCTTTTTAATTTTTTTGACTTTTTTTATGAGAAAAAAGTGTAATGATTATGAGTTGAATGTGATGTTTTATTTGTTATGACTAAAATAGCCTATTTTATTTTTTATGACTAAAATAATCCAAAAAGTCTGCGAATCCACTTGCCAAACACAGGCTTAATGGGTGAAAAGTTGAGTTGCTTTTTGACCTTTTAAACAGATGACAAATAAAGTTTTTTTTATGGGTGAAAAAGTTTTTTTTTTTAAAGTTTTTATAGCCTTTTGACTTGTTTAGTCAAAAATAATTTTTGGTCAACTTTGAATTGATATTAAAGTGGATCTCATACGCCTGTTTTTGTGACGAGTCGACGTTACAAAGTGTATCTTTCTCAATAGATGAAAATTTTTAATTTGATCAAAATCATTTCAGGTGTAAATGTGAAATTGATTCCAAAGATTACCATTTGAACTTTGGTTGAATAATGGTAAATATATTTTTGGAGAAAGTTATATTAAATATTTTATATAATATTTTATAAAAAAAAAAATATATATATATATAATATCTATTGATAAAAATTAGGCCAAGTTTGGCTACAAAGAAAAAAGTGCACTTATTTCATCTTTTTATCTTTTTTGGGTCACATCAATCAACATC